TTTTGAGGGCTCTACATGTGGCTCAGGTGGTGGAGCATGTGTCTGTCAAGCAGAAGGCCAAGTTTAAACCTTGGCACTACCAAAAAACAAAAGAGAAATTACATTCGGGGTGGAGCACCTGCCAAGCAAGAGCATGGTCCTGAGTTCAGTCTCCATTACTGCCAAAAAAATGTTTTTAAACTCTCCATATATATGCACACACATTTATAAACATAGCATGTATTTATATGTGTAGGTATGTATGTGAAACAGAGATGTATCATCAGTCTGCTAAGGCTGCCATAATAAAATACTACAGTCTAGGTAGCGTTTTAAAACAAAGAAAACAAATTTATTTCCTCACAACTTTGAAGGCTGGAAATCCAAAGTCAGAATGTGGCAGGTTTGATTTCTCCAGAGGCCTCTCTCCATGGCTGCAGATGGCCTTTTTTCTTTTACGTGCATCCTTGGTCGTTCTCTTCTGAAAGGACACCAGTTATAGTATTAGGGCCCCTCTTAACCTGATTCAAACCTCAGTTATGTTTTTCAACTCCTTATCTCCTCCACATAGTCACATTGAGGATTATGGTTTTGCCGTATGAATTTTGAGTCCATAACAAAGACTCTGTATGTAATATGTGTAGCTAGTGTACTAATACTACATACTTTGTATAACAGAGTAAGTTTTAAAAGATAATGACATTGTTAGAAAAAATAATGTTTTAATTAAATAATTATTTTATTTCATAATGTGGCTATCAAAGTCTATTTCAGAAATAGAAATACCACTTCTATCATTTTCTTGTTTCTCATATCTTTGTCTACATTGTCTTTAATAAGTTTTGCAATAATCTTTTAAGACCACTCCTTTTGTCCATTTTAATCTGTAAGAGCACTTGATCAGCACCTGTGGGCCAGTGTGTGATGGTGGAGTTACAATGAGCGGATGAGAGGGCACCGCAGTTAGCCTTTCCCATGACGGGCTTCTACTCTTCCCTCACTTAACATGAGGGACATAGGTTCCAAGTGAGGCCATCACTTCCAGTTTATATCACTTTAAAAGCTGATAAATGTAGATGAGTATACTAATGTGCCGACAAAATGTATAGGAGACAGTATATTCTGTTACATATTAGCATGCTAATACATACTGTATATTACTATATAATATCAATGCATATCTAAATATAACATCTGTATATTAGCATGCTAGTACAGATGAAATAAATACAGATGAAAATAGTAATGCTTTCTGCTCGTACTTTGGTGAGTCATTTTCTACTGCTGTGAGCACTGGTCTCAGTTGGTGTGATTCACAAGCGCTCGTTGTGCCTGTCATGCTTCACGTCCTACATATGCTGCATGCTTTCTGTGTGCTCAGGACCTTGAAGATTTATAAGGGATTTCCAGACATTGTGTCTTTCTTTAAGTGTTTCAGTTTCTACAAAATATAACAATACTATCTCACATGTTTTCATACCTAAAGATGATAGTTACTTAGTTATCTGTAATGAGTGTAGTATATTCCTGGGTTGCTTGTGACAACTGTAGTTCTGCTACCAGAAATTATTTCTGAAGAGAAGGTCTCAGGGACACCTCTCCCTGCAGCTCATCCCTACCCCATCTTCATGCTCCTAGGGATAAAGTGCTACATTACAGCTAGTTCCACCCCAGGCACACAGTGTTAGGTAGGATTAAAGTGCAAAGCCTTTTAAAGAGAAGAAAAAAGAAGCAGCTGTCTAATCAGTCTGGAAAGCAGACCATACAGGGGGCAGAAGTCCTGGCTGTGAATGCAGGGCAAGAAGCAGAGATCTGATGGCTGCAAGTTCTTTGAGTAATTTTTTCTGTGAACTCACTAGTTTGCCTTAAGGCTTCCTCTTACTTTTTTAAACTTTTTTTATTATTGTTGTAATAATACACATAAATGTACATTGTGACATTTATCAAAGTCTATACAATATGTCATACTTTAATTCACCCCCCCCTCCATAAGGCTTCTTCTTGGTAGTGGTACTAGAAGTTCTCTGGCAAAATACTGATCAGTATTTCTGATGCTGTTTAAAGCCTACTTAGCTTTTTGTATTTTTCCTGAGTAAAAGATGGCATATTGGGCACTACTAATTTTCTTTCCTCATAACCTAAATATTCTATAGTGCTTTTTTTTGTTTTTTGAGATACGGCCTTACTGTGTTATCCATGCTGTCTTGAACGCCTGTATCAAGTGATCTTTCCATCTCAGCCTGGGATTACAGGCATGTACTGCCATTACCAGCTTTCCAATAATACATTTTAAAAGACCTCCTTCACTGTTCAGAAACATTGCTTTATTAATTTTCCAGGTTTTTTTGTTTGCTTTCTTTTTGAGACAGGGTCTCACTATGTAGCCTGGCTAACCTGAAGCTTGTGATCCTCCTGCCTCAACCTCCCAAGTTCTGGGATTGCAGGCATGAGCCATCACACCCAGCTGTTTTCCAACTTCTTACAAATCCAAGCCAGTATGGTAGCACACACCACAGAATCCTGGCACTTCAGAAGCTGAGGTAGGAGGACCACAGTTCCAGGCCAGCTGGGCTACCTAGTTGAAACCACATTTTAATAAAACAAATAAAAAACAGTGTCTTAAAATTTTAAGGGAAAAAAATTCTTTCACTTGAACAGTTTAACAGGTAATTGATAGTATGGTTAAGTAACATTATACATTAAGTCTTGAGAAAATGGGAAATTAGAGCCTTCTAAGAAATGTGACCTAGATAAAAGCTGAGTTTCAAGTAATTCCCATTGAACAAACTTTAGTTTAAATAAAGGGCCTCAAATCAAGACTAACTGGTGGATATTTTTAAACAAGAAGTAAAGCTGGCTTCTTTGCCACCTGGCTGGGGCCCACTGCTTTTTGTTTGTTTGTTTGTTTTTGCGGATAACTGTTCTTTCCTTTTCTTTCAATAAAGCTTTGCTATTGTTTTACAATAACAACAAAAGTAAAACTTTAAATTTAAGGGAATCATAATTGTACTAGTGGTATTAATGGTAGTACAATTGCAGTAAATATTTTAGCCATGTCGTGTCCTTTCTGAATTGTGTCAACCCAATTGAGAGTGTTCTGGTGAAAGTGCTAGTATGTTTCAGGTGTAGAGCATGTCTAAGGCACTTAGTGACTTTCTTAAAGTTCCTGTGAACATGAGTGCCTGTCACTTCATAACCTAAAGAAGATATAGTCTCGAGGGACAGGGATAATGGAGAATGATGAGGGTGAATACATTGTAAAACTTTAGTAAATGTCACAGTGTACCCCCAGTATAACAATAATAATAAAAAAATCCCCATCTAACAATGAATAAGAAGATACAGTCTCTTTACTACACAGTTGCTTGTTTTAAGAATCTAATAGTTAAATTATTATACCAAATTAAGTATTTTTAAGATCTGCTGATGTTTTGTTTATTATAAGCAGAAAGGTTTTGCTTGAAGGCTTTTTTTTCAGGGCAGGGGGCAGGGTGGTACTGGGGTTTGAACCAGTACCTGGGGCCTCATGCTTCCTAGGCAGGTACTCTACCACTTGAGCCACTCCACCAGCCCTTTTTTGTGCTGGGTATTTTCTTTTTTTTTTTCTTTTATTATTCATATGTGCATACAAAGCTTGGGTCATTTCACCCCCCTGCCCCCACCCCCTCCCTTACCACCTACTCCACCCCCTCCCTCTCCCCCCCACCCCCTCAATACCTGTGCTGGGTATTTTCAAGATGGGATCCTGCAAACTATTTCTCCAGACTGGCTTTGAACCACAGTCCTCCTGATCTCTGTGTCCTAAGTAGCTAGGATTTATAGGTGTGAGCCACTGGCAAGCCCTTTTAGAGATAAGGTTTTGCTCTATGTCCTGGCCATCCTGGACCTTGATCCTTCTGTTTGTTTTTCCCTGCCTAGCTGGGATGACAGGTATATAGCACTACACCTAGCCATTGGTTGAGATGGGGTCTCATGAATATTTTTCACATGAGACTGGCATAGAACCATTATCCTGATCTTCACCTCCTGAGTAGCTAGGATTACAGGCTTGAGCCACTGTGCCCAGCCCCTTGGAGGTGTTTTTTTAAAAGTCAGTAATTTTCTGTGTTATATAAGAATTTAGTAACTAATTTTTATTAGTTTATTTATTTAGTTTTGGGGGTGTCAGTAGTAGGGTTTGAACTCATGCTTGCTAGACAGGTTCTTTACCACTTAAATCACACTCCCAGTCTTTTGCTTTTAATTTATTTTTCAGATAGGATTTCACTTTTTCTTTTTTTTTGGCAGCATTGGGGCTTGAACTCAGTGCCTTAGGCTTGTTAGGCATGCACTCTACCACTGGAGCCACTTCACCAGCCCTTTTTTGTGTTCAGTGTTTTTGAGACAGAATCAAACCATTTTGATCCTCCTGATGTCTCTCCCCCCTGCCCCCAGGCAAACACTTTTGCCTGGGGCTGGCTTTGGACCTCTCCTACCACCTTCTCTGAAGTAGCTGGGATTACAGCTGTGTGCCACCACACCCTGCCCACTTATTAATAGTTACTTGGAATTCCCTTTCCAAATATCAGACTTTCTGGTAACGTTTAGGAAGAATGTACTGATGGTTATTTTTACATGTTACCCAAGAATTTCAAAAGCATGTACACATGTACTTTATATATTCCCATAGTAGTGTGCTACCAAGAGGAAAACAGGTTCTGCAGGATTGGTCATTTGTGAGGCCTCATGCTGGGCCATCTGGAATTAGATTTAAGAGCAGAAGTGAGGGTGTGATTTTTTTTTCCTCTTTGTGTTGTTATGCTGTCATGTGTTTTTAGAAATTTTGATGTTAAACATGTAACATTTTTAAAAAGCATTTAGAATGTGAGGAATGCAAAGAATTGCACTTGGGTTCTATGTTGCCCCTGTGCTTGCTAAACCCATACTGAGCCGAGATGTATGCCTTGCTAATACATCGTGTCTGTTTTCTATTTTTCTATTAGAACTACTAAATTTGCTTAAATGCTTATTGTTCTCCGTAGGTGTTGGATCCTGAACAGAACCATAACTTCACAGATCATTATCTAAATGTGGCCTTTGACCTTTCCCAAGTCCTTTTCATAGCCACCGCCAACACCACTGCTACTATTCCACCTGCCTTGTTGGACAGAATGGAAATCATTGAAGTTCCAGGTGCTTCATTCATAAATAAAATCATGAACATCTTACTTTTCTTGAACATACCCTTTAAAATCAGTCATGCTGAAGAGTTTGAAGAAATTAATTTGCTAATGCACAGTCTTTAAAAGCTCAGAGTCAGGTGTACAAACCAGCTTTTTCAAAGTCTGGGATAACCAAATTTGTACCAAACAGATAAGACTACATGTATGTTCTGTAAGTCATCAAGAATAAATCCTATCCAAGTGCTGGTGGTTCACACCTGTAATCCCAGCCACTCAGGAGTCAGAAATCAGAAGGACCACAGTTTGAACCCAGCCTGGGCAAACAGTTCAGGAGACCCTATCTCAAAAAAACCCATCACAGAAAAAGGGCTGGTAGAGTGACTCAAGGTGTAGGCCCTGAGTTCAAACTCCAGTAGTGCAAAATAAATTAAATAAATAAATAAGTCTTGACAACATGTTCAGATTTAATTTAGCATTAAAGAATGATTATCTTTTGTGGAAAGAAAGACATTCTTCCTTGAGCCAATTTCTAAAATTACAGATAAAAAATAATTTGTTTCTACAAAGTAAGTGTCTGAAACCAAATACCAGATTTTTGCAATTTTTACTACTTCTCTGGGAAAGCATTATGTATGACTTATTCTCAATAAGAAGTGGTTCCTAAAGAGTACTGGAGCTTTCTTCTTAGTAATTCTATAACGGCACAGTGCTTTTAAATTCCTCTTCTTTTTAATCTGTCAGGTAGTTACATTTCTTTCTTTTTTTTTTTTTTTAACCATGCTTTCTTTACTGGAATATAGAAAAAAAATCCTTTAAATTTTACTTAAATTCTAGCCTTTCCATTTTATTTTAATTGCTCAGAATTATTTTGCCCTAGAAGAGATGAAATCAATGAGTACTTGTTAAAATGAAAATAGAGTAGATTCCTATATTCAGTTTTAAAATGTAGTGGAGCAAAAAGTTGCTTTTGGGTTTTTATAAGATTAAAAGAAATAACAAGATTCAATTACCTGGAAATGCCAAGTAACGACAGAAAGCCCATTAGGACATGTGATGACCTTGCCTTCCTTTGACAGATTTGGTCAACCTGTCTTCCAGCTCTCTACAGCTTTAAACCTCCTTTTTCTATCAAGAGATGCTTTATCAGTTCATGTTTAAAACTTCTGTTGAACAGAAAGGATACATTAGCTTAGGTGGAATTTTGTCTTACGGAATTGAAAGATAAAGTAAATCTGTACTCTTTGAGGGGTCTAAATCAGTAAGAACAAAGCCTCTTAAATATATTCTTTATTATTTTTCCTAAGATGTGGGGGAGGAAAACAAATAACAATCACTGTTTGGTTTGTGAAAAATTAGGAATTTTAGAGTAAAGTTCCTCACTCTGGTTATAGTGTTAGTAGAAGTCACACATAAATTCATTTATGAATTAAGATCCATTGATTCTGCATTGGATTCATTAAAAGGCATTGCATTTTGGGAGCCGTGTGGATAACTACAGAGCAAGGTCCCTTCTTTTGCAGGGTATACACAGGAGGAGAAGATAGAGATTGCCCACAGACACCTGATTCCAAAGCAGCTGGAACAACATGGGCTGACTCCGCAGCAGATTCAGATCCCTCAGATTACCACCCTTGCCATCATCACCAGGTTAGTCCACCATTCTCAGGGATGTTAACATTCGAGTCTGAAGAAGAGATTCTTTTACTGACATCCTATAGTACCCATTTTTCTTCTACAGCTTCCCAGCAGGCTTGACATAGCTATTGATTTACGCAGGGCTCAGAAGGAGGCAGAATTTCATAGAGAAATCTATGAAATTAGAAGATCTTCATTGAGAAGACCTCACTATACCAGAATTTCTATTGTAATAGCAATCAAAGGGATTAATTTAATAATTTAAAAACCAAACACATGGAAACATTGTATGCCTAGGATCTTGAAATATGTTGAATTCACTTGAGATGAGCTGCTACTTTCAGATGTCTGTTTTAGGTTATTTACATTTTTTTTCTTCTCTTTGAGAGTTTTTTTTTTTAATCTTCAGAGTTTTGATCTTCAGAATTAACACTGAAACAATAGAGAAGGTGATGATCCAAATTAGCTACCAAGTACTTAAGCCGGTGGCAAGCAGTGCATAAGTTATCTGAATAGAGTATTGCTGATTTATAGATTGTGTGTGTGAATGGAAAGTATATTCTGTTGAGAATCTATATCAGCCACAGCCTGAACAGTCTAGTTACAGTGTAACGAGTTTACTCGAAGCCTTCCAGTGAAAACGATAATTGTCATAGGATTATTTTTTTTTCTATTCACTGCCCTATAGTTTCCTACTTCTGCCCTTAGGAGCATCTGGCATCTAAGTATAATTCCTCCTTGTATGGACTTCTGAAATGAAGAACTGTTCTCAGATCTGCCCCATAAATACTCTCTTCTTCAAGCTAGTTACCCCTGTTCTCTTTATCATTTCTCTTGTCCTGGTTTCAAGACTTTCTACCTTTCTGATTAGTCTTCTTTTGTATGAGTCTTGTAGATCAGTGTGCCTTTTAAAATGTTATTTTCTGGTTGTACCTCTAGGTATTTAGTCCTTTTAAGATTTTTCTCTTGAAATTCTGCTAAACTTGGCATAGACCTTTCTGTTTATAAAGTTGAGTTTCTATTTTTTGCTACTGTTCTTTTTTTCTTTTTAAAGTTGTGTTTCTTGAAGCCCAAATGTAGAAATTTACAGTATTGTATATTATATTGTTAGTTTCAGCTACCATCATAGCAATTTGTGTTTATCATCTTAATTATTATTAAATACATTCATTTTATGTCCCTTGAAAATCATCAGCATATATGGCACCTTGTGTTCAAGTCATTTTGAGAAGATCAACCAGTTCTTTTTTCTTTCTTTCTATTATTTATTGTTGTAGCGCTGGGGATGGAACCCAGGGCCTTCCACATGCTAGGCGAATGGTCTGCCATCAGCTCCATCCCTGTAATACATCAGCACACCAGCCAATCCTTACCTGACTGGTGATTCTTCCCAGTTCTTTTCAGTTTAAAGATATCAAATAGGAGTTGCTGCATCTAATTCTTTGGTCAGCTGTTAGTGATATACTGTCTGCATTAGTTACCAACCCCAATGATCTAAACACAAGTATTTGTTGTTATCTCTGTTTTTGACAACTTCCAGTCTATTCTGAATTCCTGGCTCCATTCCTGTACATTCACAACATTCCTTCAAAAGCTTCCCCAGACCCAGCCACTAGTGGCTCACACCTGTAATCCTGGCTATCAGGAGGCAGAGACAGGAGGATCTCAGTTTGAAGCCAGACCAGGCGCATAGTTTGTGAAACCTTATCTCAAAAATACCCCCAACACAAAAAGGGTTAGCAGAGCACCTGCCTAACAAGCATGAGTCATTGAGTTCAAACCCCAGCGCTGAAAAAAAAAAAAAGCTTCCTCAGTCCCTGTGCTTTCATCTTTTGTCCATACCCATTAATCTGAGCTGATCAAGTCCCTGTCTAGGAAGCTATATTAGGTTTTTGCTTTTATGTGTTGCTTTGTTTATTTTTAAGGTGCCTGCCTTATTGAAATTATGTACAGTTGTATAACATGGACTTTTTTTTTTAAATCCTTATATCCCTTTGATGGAAATGAGTTTTACTTTAGAACTTTGAGCCAACAGCTTTTCTCTTCCTTTCCTTACAACTTTTAATCTGCCTCCCTAAAATCTAGAAGGTGTCAGCTGCCTAATAAAACCCAGTTGTTCTCTACCTAATGCTGCCTGTTCCAGTCCATCCACAGCTGGGTGGCCAAAACTGTAAGGTGGTTCCTGGGTGGCTGTGCAGTTGCTTTAACAGACAAGGTTTTAGGCCACTCTGCTTAACCACATGTGGGATCTCTCACAGAGTCACAGTAGAAAGCCCCAAGTCACTTGGTGGTAAGCATGGTTCACAGTAAAAACTCAGTTTCTGTTTCAGGTGCTTTTTTATCTTTAGTTGAAAAAAAAGTGCAATTTCTCTTAATTCTTCCAGTAATATTTCAAGTACAATAAGTCTAGGATTTTCTTAAATTGACAAATTTTGTTTAAGAAAACTCTTAAAACATATCAAAAGATTAAATGATATTTTAGGTGCTGCAAAGTTTACTTTGGCTGTATAAATTGAAGAGCCAAGGATTCGTGTTTTTTTAGGCATAAAATAATAGCACAAGATAATCTGTATAAAGGAAATAGTTGTAGCTAGAAATATACCTGAATAGTTTAAAAAAAAAAGTAACATTTTAGAGTGATCTTTTAAGTTTGCAGAAGCTAATTCTCAGGAAAGAGCAATGAACTTTTAAATGGTCATTCTTTCTTTAGTAAAAATGTTAGCCATATTGCTTTTTTTTTGGTTTTTTGGCTGTACTGGAGTTTGAACTCAGAGCCTAATGCTTGCTATGCAGGTGCTCTCCCACTTGAGCCACACCCCTAGTCCTTTTTTGCTTTAGTTACTTTTCAAATAGGGTCTTGTGTTTTTGCTTTAGGCCAGACTTAGACCAAGATCATCCTTCCTATGCTTCTCTCGTGGCTGGGAATACAGGTGCACTCCACCACACCTAGCTCATTTGTTAGGATGGGGTCTTGCTAACTTTGCTTTGGCTGCCTGGAACCTCCATTGTCCAAACCTTTGCCTCCCAAGTAGCTGGGATTATACTTCTATTTTTATAGGTGGTGTTCAAACAACAGTAATTTTGTTTTTTGGTTTTTTTTTTTTGATGACAGATATACCAGAGAGGCAGGAGTTCGTTCTCTGGATAGAAAGTTTGGGGCCATTTGCCGAGCCGTTGCTGTGAAAGTTGCAGAAGGACAGCATAAGGAAGCCAAGCTGGACCGTTCAGATGTGACTGAGGGAGAAGGTTTGTGGCTTTAGTGTGTTTCTCTAAGCCTGGCAGCTAGCAGTGAATGGCAGAGTTAAGCTGGGTACGGAGAGAGGGTGCTGGGTCTCCTTGGAGCAGTGACACATGAGACTCCATCAGTTAATGCATCCCGTAAGTATTCAATAAATGACTCCATGTTGTTAATCAAGGGCATTCTTTCTTGTCAATAGTAAGCGTTTTAACTGGACTAATATTTGGAATGAATGCTTTGAGGATATAGGAACTTTCTCCAGATTTGTAATGATGGTGCACTTTATATATAAATTTAATGTTCTCTTACTTGTTTTTTGTTTCATTTTGGTTTGGTTTGGTTTTTTTGCCATCCTGGGGTTTGAACTCAGGGGCCTTACACTTGCTACGTAGGTGCTCTACCACAGGAGCCACTTCTCCAGCCCTCTCTTATCTCTTACTGACCCAGGCAGTTGCTAACTCCTTGAATAATTTGCAACATAAAAAGCTGTTATAGAGCAAGCATGGCAGTTCAAGCCTGTAATCCTGTCAATTGGGAGGTCAGAGCAGGAGGGTCATGAGTTTGAGGCTAACCTGGGCTACAAAGAAAACCCTGTCTCAAAAATTTAAGTTGTTACAACATGTTAAAAAAAAAAAAAATCAAGCTTGCTTGGCACCAGTGGCTTAAGCCTATAATCCTAGCTACTTGGGAGGCTGAGATCAGGAGGATTATGGTTCGAGGCCAGCCTGTACAAATAGTTTGCAAGACCCCATCTCCAAAATAACCAGAGCAAAATGGACAAAGGGTGTGGCTCAAGTGGTAGAGTGTCTACTTAGGAAGCTTAAAGCCCTGAGTTCAAACCCCAGTCCCACCAAAAAGTAAAAAAATCAGTGAACTTTAAAAACCCAAGCTGTCTGAGTCGGCCTGGGCAGACCTTTGTACTCTGGAAGAGCTTCATGCCATAGTAGTTTTATTTTCCTCACACCTCTTGTTTCATAGGTACACAATTCCATGTAATGTAAATTACTCTTTCTTAAGTAGTTCTGGAGGTTGGTGTCATGAGGGCATTCTATTACTAGAATTAATCAAGTGTGAATGTTTCCTTGGCTACCCAGTTAAAATGCTTGAACTTCTTCCCTGTACCTCATTACACCATGTTGTTATGCAGTTTGCTAAAACTAGCTTTAAGAAACATTACTTTAGCCAGAAGCAGTGACTCACGCCTATAATCCTAGGTATTTGGGAGGCTGAGATTGGGAGGATAGAAGGTTGAGGCCAGCTTGGGCAAATAGTTCACAAGACCCCATCTCCGAAATAACCAGAACAAAATAGATGGGAAATGTGGCTCAAACAGTAGAGCACCTACCTGCTTTGCAAGTTCAAACCCCAGTCCCACCAAAAAAACAAAAGAAAAGAAAGAAACATGACTTTAGTAATAGGAAACTGATGATTTCTTTCATAGTAAAGAGACTTATTAGATGTCCTGCTATTTCTCCAGCTCTTTCCAGAAAGGACTTAGATGAGTGAGGTTGAAAGAACCATAATTTGTGGTAGGCTTAGTGGACCAGGCACTGTTGAACATCTTCCTTGTTTTTCTTCTCTTGCTGAGTCAGTGCATTTCACATCATTAGCATCACTGAATATACATTCACATAATCATTTTGTTCCCTGTGTGTTGCTGCCCCTCTCTGCACTTTGCCTAGAACCCCACTGCTCATTTTCTCAGGGGAATAAACCTTCCAGCTTTTGCTGAAATTGGAGCAGAGTCATGTCCTCAATATATGGAGTTAGGGACATTACACTCTTAATTGTTTAGTATGCAGACATAAAAACTTCTTTGTGGTACCTGCTGTGGTTTCAATATGTCCCCCAAAGCTCATGTTGCAATGCAATAGTGTTGACAGATGGGATCTTTAAGAGGTGTCAGGGCTGAGCGTGTGGCTCAGAGTTAGAGCACTTTCCTAGCATGCACAAGACCCTGGGTTCCATCCCAGCTCCACCAAAAAAAAAAAAAAAACGATTAAGTCATAAGGACTCTGCCCTTGTGAGCAGATTAATCCATTATCTTGGGGAAGTTGGATTAGGAATAGTTACCACAACAGTAGGTTCCTGATTTAAAAAAAAAGTTTATTTGTCCTCCCATGCCCCACACACACCCATGAACTCTCTTGCCATGTGATGCTGCAAAAGGCTTCCCCCACAGGTGGCCCCTTGATTGTGGATTTCTCACCTCCACAATCGGGAGCCAAATAAATTTCTGTTCACTGTAAACTCCCCAAGTTGTAGAATTCCATTATAGCAACATAAAATAGGCTAAGACAGCTCCTCTTGTCACCCATAGTTTTGGGGATCCCTTAGGCTCCTAAGCCATTACAGGGTTTTGTGGCTCAAATCACCTTTCAGTTGTTGATCTTGATCCCTCACTCATACCCTGCAGACATTAAGAGTTCTGCTTTCTCTAGTCTGCTAAGTTTTCATTAGATTTTTGTCCATTCACTTTCACTTTGCAGAATTTGTATTTCTTATCAGTTGTCGCCTTTCTCATTCTTTTTGTTCTTACAGGTTTATACTTTTTTTTTTTTTTTTTTTTGGTGGTACTAAGGTTTGAACTCCAGGTCTCAGCTTGCTAGGGAGGCACTCTAGGACCATGATCCTCTTATTTACACCACCTGAGTATCTGGGATGGCAGTTGAACCACATACCCAGCCTTATTGGTTGAAATAGGGTCTCACTAACATTTTGCTCAGGCTGGTCTCAAACATGATCCCCCCCACTCTCTGTGTCCTAAATAGCTGGGACTATAGGTATGAGTCACTGTGCCCAGATTGCTTTTTTTTTTTAATTTCTTGTCATTTTAATGGAGAAATTTAATAGAGGAATTGTAAAATAAACATATGTTCAGACTACTATTTATAAAAATAGAAATTTTTAACAACTGTCATGAGGGAGTGCCTGTTAAGAATGGAAATCAGGTGGAACCCCTGACTACCAAGTGCGAGACCCTGAGTTTAAACCCTAATAGTGCCACACAAAAAAAAAAGGAAATCAACAGATGTAACTGGAGAAATGAGGTTTTGTTCCTTTTCTTCATCTTCTATATGAGAGCTAACTTGATCCTAAATGTTCCCTTTTTATTCCTACAGCTGTGGCCTATGGCATAGCTTCATAGAACATAACCATGACCCTCTGTCTTTTTGTTCTTGTCTGTGATATAGCAGAAGGTAGGGGGTAAAATGAAGTTTATCGGTTAACACATTTTGACAATTATAAGTATTTGTAAGATTTTGATTTTTTTTTTTAGAATTTATAACACCTTCAGAGGGACTTGATGTCAAGGGACACTTTCCATAGATGCAATACATTGCTTAATGTTTATACATACATCATTAGCATATTTTAATAGTATCTGTGCTCATAAATAACCCACACATGTCTAAGACCTTGTTCAAACAGCTTATGAACTGTTTTTATGGTAGCATTCACTTGGATTTTTTTGTTGTTATTAGTTTTTTAAATCACAGAACATCTCCAACTGATGATGTAGCTAAGCAGATTTAGGTAATTAAGATACTATCTAAGGAAAAAACAAAGATACTATCTAAGGCGTTCAGATGAATAAATAATTAGGATAAACATTTGTCTCTAAGGATGATTTGGGTTGTAGTCCTCATTAGAGACACAAATATAACTAGTAATAATAAGATACTCTTGAGTTACTAGAAATGATTGCCCTCCAGACTTAGTAATTATAAGAATCTTGAAATAATGCTTATAACTTCAACCATTCCAAAAGAAAAATTTTTCTAGTCTACAGTAGGTTGTCGTGCCAAAAGTTCAAGTGGAACTCAGTAACTGAAAGTTTCTCATTAAGAAATGAGTATAGGGGCACCCTCTCTTGGGACCTCTCTTGGGGAGGGGCTTTATATTTTCTATCTCAATAAACTCTCCAACTTTACACTAAAAAAAAAGAAAGAAATGAGTGTAGAAGATAATGAGCATATAGAAGACAATGGTTGTTTTAGAAACTTCAACTAATGTAATGCAATGTGGGAGTTATTTTTAATGTTAAAAATAATGCTGGACTCGAAGTTACTGCCAGGAAGAAAAGTAATTTCAGGACACGAGCTTTAAAACAGGCAGAAACTGCCTGGCGCAGGCCCAGAAACTCTGGTCTGTGAGCAGTTGTCTGCATTTGTGGTATCTCAGGTGGTTGTTTACACAGACCAGATAGTAACAGGGAGTTTAGAAGGCAGGTGAGCTTTAGTTATTTAATGCTAGAAGAGAAATGTTTATGCTTTTGGTCACTTGTCCATGACAAGAAGACAGTTGGTCTTCTGAGACTCTGGTTTGATTCGTACATCTCTTCCCAACATTTCCCAGTATACTCTGGCTTGCCTGTTAGACTCTGCTAATAGACATGCCAGACAACCATGTAGCAATAAAACTATGTGATTTTATTTACATTTATTCAGCTTGGGATTTGCTGGCCTCTTTGAATTTGTGGGGTAAATTCTTTCATCAGTTTTAAAGTTTTTTAACTATTATCTTTTCAAATATTATTCTCATTTTTTTTCTTCCTCTGAGGCTCTAAGACACAGCCTGCTTGGTTTTTACCCTCTGTTCTGTTTTTTCATTAATTTTTCTAATTCTGTTTGCATAGTTTTGTTTTCTTGTATGCCAGTTCATGATTACTGTCTTCTGCTATTAAGCCTATGGAACTCTTATTTTTAGAAATTGAGTTTTCTACTTTTTGAATGTCCATTTGATTCTTTATGTATATGTAGATTCTAGTGGGTTCTTTATTGAAATCCTCCATCTTTTCATCTCTTTATCCATCTTTTCCTCTATTTTCTTGGCCATACAAATCATGGTTTTTAAAGTGCCTATCTGAACACTCACATTATCTGATTCACTTGTGTGTCTCTTTGTATTACCTGGGTTTGCTGCTCTTGTTGTTTAGTTGGTTGGTTTTTATTTTATTTTATTTTTTTTTGTGATGCTGCGGATTGAACCCAGGGCCTTGCACGTG